ATTTTTTTGCGATGAAACACACACATTATTGATAATATAAATCAAATTACAAAAATATTTCTAACTTTATGAATATACTTTTGTGTCAAAAAAAATATATATATATATATGTATTAAACAACGATCGGAAAATCAATATTCGATGATTTTCCTTCTTTTTCTTTTTCTTTTTTTTTACCATAGACATTTGATAAAAAAAGAAAAAAAAGCAGGAAAAAAAAAAAGAAATTTTCCATAGAAAATCCTTACCTTCGTAGAAAATGATTAACAAATGTTTAACGTGCCTAGAAAATTATAATGTTATATGATATTACAAAATGTTACGTAAACGAGAATAAAAAATGTTATTATGTACACAAATGTTAACGAGTAAAGTACATTATTCATTCATTAACATTGATAATTTAGGTATATTATACATCATACATATATATATACAAAATATGTGTATATATATATATATCTGTATTCTGTATTGTTGTACTATGTGCTAATTAATATAATAATAGATATATTTGATTTTACAGCTTTTTTATTTTTTATTTCACGTTGGTTCCTCAAAAAAAGAAAACAACACCTTAAGTTTATCCAAATATTTTCCTTATGTCAGAAGATAAAAATTGAAGAAAAATGTTTTTCATTTAATGTTACAATTATCGTTAAAATTTCAAACAAAAATTGATTCGTTAAATTATATATAAGTTATTGCAATTAAAATTAATTGTTTTATTTTACGTGCTGTTTTTTACAGCAGATTTTATCACATAACAGATTAAACATATAAGTAATATACGATCTCAAATGTTATCAATTGTTTTAAATTTTGTTTTTATATAATTTGAACTCTTTTCAAATGAATTTTGTGCATAGTTAAACAATTCGTTATCTCGATAAAATAATATTATATTTTAAACAATACGAAATGCAAGTTTTTATTCGATAAATCAATAAGCGTATAATATAACGTGAGTATAGTTTTTTTACTATTGTTTTTTTTTCTCACAACTATGTAAAAAACAAATATACAGTGTGGCCAATTTAAGAAAAAAAATTAACAGCGTAATCGCGTTTTTTTTATTTATCAGAACGTTGAATGATTAACATTAAAAATAATATCATTCATTGAAAAACTGATCGAAAATAAGTATAATAATAATAATAATAATAATTAAATGTCATATATAATAATATTTTAACATTTAAGTACATTATCAATACTTCGATTAATTATTTTTCTGTCGTTTTTTAATTTAATATCAATGTACATTAGATCTCAAAAGTTATTTACAATTTTATTCATATTATTTAATCATTTCTTATTTTAGAACACAAAAATTCGACATTATTGTTATTATAAAATTGGCCTACGTTATTTTTTAATTATACATTTTCTTTTTTCTACCATTGACATAATAATAATAATTAACATGTAAAACGCAAAAATATTTATCGAATTTTATATTTTTAATTTCGATTGTATTTCCGAAAAATATCTTCAACGAATAAATAATATCGTGAAACGAAACAGAACAGTAGAACACAATTTTAAATGGCAGTCATTTATTAATGGGGGTTTGAAGGAAAATAATAAAAAAAAAAAAAAAAGAAAAGAAAGAGGACATTTTATCAGGTGACAATTGAAACTTCAATTAGGATTATTATTTGTCAATAAAATCACACATCAACACACTGTATATTTTTACCCTGTATAAAGTTTATATAAATGTTCAGTTAAAATAAATCGATACAAAAAAAACCCATGATCAAAATAATAATTTGTCTTTGTCAATCTTTGACAGGATTCAATAATTATTAACAATTGTTCATTGTATTAGATAATCCAATTTTTTTTAACCCTTTTTTACTTTAATTTCGAGCGTGACTCATTTTTATTCATAATTAATTGTTAATTGTATAATATTAATTTGATTCATATCTTTATAATTATTGATTTTAAAAAATTATTTTTTATTTTTTCTTCTTCTTAATGTAAAAAATTAATTTCAAATAAAACGTTTCAATATAAATTTTGTGGGAAAAGTTATTGTTGTATATAAACAAAATTGAAATATAAATTAATAATGCAAAAGGTTAAATAGTTAAACACAATCGAACGAATTTTCAACCTAAATGATGATCGAAAATAATTGGTTTCTTTTTTTATTTTTTTATCTATCTTCAATAAAAATTTTGACACAAAACGCAAGTTCTACTTGAATATTTATTTTCTATTCAATCTGCATTTAATAGAAATGCAGACAAACAAAAATTCATTACGGTAAAGTATATGAAAAAACGTGAAAAAAACATCTAATGCAATATTTTTATAACAAAAAAACAAAAAGAAACTAGCAACGATCACAAAATCGTAATCAAATTTTTCGGATCCAGCAATTGGTGGCAGTTGGAAGATTGGTTTTTTTTGTTTGTTTTTTTTCTTACATTATATCCCTTCAAGGGCAATGAAAATGGAGTATTAATTCTTTTTTAGTTGATTTTTTTGTTGTTGTTGTTTTTTTTATAAACGATTATTCATAGTTATATCCTGATTGGTAAATTTTAATGCACGCAATTGTCTGTACAATCGTTGTTTGCAAAATTGATAAAATTCAACCTCGCGAGTAAAATTTTGACGAACTATATCCTTAACCTCCTCGCTAACGGGTGGCTTGAAGAAATTCCGATTGATACTGGTGAACGCGTGTGTTTGATCTAAAAAGAAAAAAGAAAAAAAAAGTACGACCATAATGACAGACACAATATAAAAATATTAATATACAATATATTTATATTATTGTATAATATAAATATATAATAAT